AGAATCTCAGCACGGAATAAGCCAGATTCACAGCTGCCTGCCACAGATTCTAGGACTACTTCTGAATTTAACTTTCTTATATGCTAAAATACAATTTAGCATTTATTGCAACAATGCCACATATTGCGCTGCTGTAATTAAACGGGTATAGACTTCTAATTTGTTTGCACTACAGCGTCACCCACTCCTTTGTACTTATATGACAAGCCATCTTCAACCATGAGAAAAGAACAAAACAAGCACGTCTTGTTAAAGTCTATGGGTACAAACTGCCCTCCGTAATTACAGTTACCAGTACAAACAGCCGACAGGGCGGAGCTGGGTTCAGGGGGACTGGGGAAGGAGACATGGTTAGTTCATTTTCAGAAATGACGGGCGACAACTGTGACATTTTCATTCTCATTTATTTGGGGTGCTGTTTTCAAGTCTGCAGATCAGAGCATTTCTGTGAGATATAGTACTTTTAATTTAGTGACATTTATTTCTCACAAGAAGATGTTTAGGCACATGAAGTTAACACTTTAATGTTGTGCTGACGAATATAGTTTAGTCTTCGAAATGTGTATGAATAACACACATGGAAGAGGAATTTATTAAGCTTGACAGCTCACATCTACATCAAAGAAAGACCTGAGTTCAATTCATCTTTCATTCGTTCCTCTCATGTTTTCCTCCACTCCGGCTCATAATACCTGTACAGGCTTGCTTTTTTTGATGCTCTTGAATGTTTAACAGCTCCCCTTTTATTGCTCATGTTCACTGTCCTCCTTTACCTCAGCGTATCAATGCTTAATGCTTTTTGCTGCTGAAGAGTTTCAAATTAGCTGTTGAATAAAGATAAATTCAAATTGGTGCAAAGCGTAAAGTCATTTCCATTGGTATCCTGGAAGGCCCCGAACTTACATAAGCCTAAACCTATTTGGCAAATATATGCATGATTTGTTGAAGAGTTGGAGTATTCTACTTTCACTGAGTGCCTACAAATCTCTGCAGAGAAAGGAATTCACTTGATACATCTTTTGTGTTGGAAAATCCTGTTACAACAATTGTTTGAGGTAAAGCCAAATATGCAGCGGGCACCACCAACATACTGTGAAATAAATAACAGGCTGGTGATGCCATCACTTCTCAGAGGCTAACACTTTCCCACTGTAAGCAGATGTTCTGCTTTTCGGTAGAAAAGTGCATGTTGGCTCAACCCCTGTATTGTTTGAACAGGAATACTCCAGCCCCACTGAACTCACAGATTGTGTCGAACATGAGGGTTTATCACCTGGCAGATTATTGAGCTCCTTTGTTGCTCTCGAACAAAAACATGTCTCTTTTACTGTTCCGCTCTGCCTGTGTGATTCCCTGAGTGGAATCCCTGTGTTTTACACTGGCTGGAATTTTTAGTGTAAGTCATACAAGGCCGTACATGCATCTGTGTTTTTGTTGTCTTTCTTTTTTTTTTTTCTTGCCTGTTGACTGATTCGAGCTTGGCATCCATACATTTGGCCAGGCTCTTTTACAAGAGGAAAACTGCACTTTTTTTCCAAGTGGATTGCTTTTAAAGAGATAAGCAGCAGCTGGTTGTGTAGATAGGTGAATATGACTCATTAAACCCCAGCATTTTCCCCCTCTGATGACAGACATGATTTTGCCACAGCCCGTGTGTTTGTGTAAGCGTCTTTTTTTCTTCTCTTTGACTTGAAGCAGACATCTCAGCTGTTGGAAGGTCTGTCATGATTCAAAATCTGTCAGGAGAAGCACTCAAACGTTTTAGAGTTGCACCTTCCATGTTGCATCATGACAGTTTGAGCAGCTTACAGAAAAAGGCACTGGAAATGAATTGGGAAATAACCCTTGAGCGTCTTCCAACTAAACTTAAAGATACATAAAAATACTCCAAACAGCATGTTTTAAAGTGTTACATATTTACTGGATGTAATACAGTAAATAATGCTGGAGCAAATATATATTAAACTTGTATCAGTGCCATACATTCCATGAAGATCAAATCTATTTGTACCTGATAGGAGTTGCTTCGTGCCAGGATTCACAGACTATCTGTTTGTTTGATGTGTTGTGTTTGAATCCCCCTTCCCAGCCTGTTAAGAAACTATAATTAAAGCAACACCACAGTATCAACTCCATTCTTTAATTCATCTCCATCACAACACGATGGAGCAATGTTTTGACGTGGGGCCTGTGAAAAATTATTGGCTGTCTTTGAAAAGTCTGAGAAGCTCAAACATGCAGGTCTAAATGCATGCAATTCAGCTTGTACAAAGTTTACAAGTTTCTAAACAAATGAAAAGCTGGTTTATGGAGAACCTGGGCAGGAAGAAGAGGTGCAGATGCAAGCTTCTTTTATAGTCTTACTCATAAAGGGTACCATCGGAGATGTTTCAATCAGCCTGAAACTCTAATGAATTCAAACATCAATTTATTTGGAAGAACAACCAACAAAAGTTAAACATGCATAAGGCTAAGTAGGGTTAAAAAAATCTCTTCACATGAGCACAAAACAGTGTTAAACGAAACTCGAAAGTTTCCAGGTTTTAAATGTTATACTTTTTAAGTATAAACCTAATAAAACTGGATCAGGAAACTGTTTTGATTTCATTTTGTAATGTAACTTTTTCATTTCTTATAATTTCTTATGATTTTGGGATTTGCATGAACTGCAGTACTTTGGAATATAATTGTATTATGATGGTATTGTAATAAACTGAACATAACTGGCTTGAATCGCGCTGCACGTTTTTGAAGTGCCTTGGGATGAATGGCTACTTTGTATGCGTTTGTCTGGCTTTACATTTTCCTTGGCAGATATTACTGTGGATGGGGAATTAAAAAGAAATAGACAAAAGACATTAAACAAACCACTTCACCCTAATCACCCACTTCCTGTTTCGAACAGCCCTTTAGTTTGTTTCTCATGGACTTTAACAAATGAGAAAGACATACTTGAAAGAAGTATAACAATCCAGATTGCAGCATCAGATAAATCAACATGTTTTCGTTTTGGAAGAAAAGCTCAGGGTGTCAGTGATTGCCATGCAGAGGACTAGTTGGTAAGCTTTGAGAGTAGTATGGTGAAGACAAAAAACCCACCCTAAATACAGGGCACAGGCCATAATTTACCCCTATATCTGACCACTTAACTGACACATGTCAAAGTGGTATATGCAGAAATGTTGGTTCAGTCTTGTTGTTAATGTCTGGTTCTATTTTGAAAAAAAGTCATATCTCTTATACAGATGAGCAAAAGACTGGACGTCAGAATGTGATATATGTACTTTTGAATGAGCTAATTGCTCTTATGGAATGTGTTGTGTGTATGTATACATACTTCTTTTACTTCTTTGGGGTTTTTTTTCTGTTTTAATGTGTTCATATATGTCTTTCTGGGGTCCGCTTGCAGTTTGGCACTATTATGTTTTTAAATTATCTGATTATCTTTACATTTTCTCTTCATATTCTTTTGTGGCCATAAATTAAAATCGTTCTGAGCCTTTTGAAATCCGGCACACAAACACACTATTATTTAGGCTTCGACTCTCGACGACTGTCTGAAAACCCAGAAACCTCTGTGTCTGAATTTAAACGTCTAACTTTACAGTCACCACAGTGAATATCCACTTTTACACAGTGCATAACGTGACATGGTGTCAGATGTTGCCACGGCATCAAAGCTCTTTGTTTACTGGGTTTAAATCCAACTTTTACTGAGCTGCAAATGAGAGTCTGCCCCCCAACAGCACCGGCCATATGACATTTTATAAAGGACAGCTGACGGTTTTGGCACCTCCTGAAACAGCATCGAGAATGAGCGTGAAGCTTTCCAACACCGTTCAAAGTAGTCTGTGCGAAACATATTACGCTTAACAGGTGAATGCTTTAATTGATTTTGGAACAAAAGGAATACAGTAACCTTTAAATATTCACGATTTTATTGTAAGCATGTATATCACAGCACACTCTTTAAACTTTTGAGCACTTTCAAAAAGCCCATTGTAAGTCATTATCTTAAAGACGCATGGTTATGATCTGGAACTGGATAGAAGGGAAGAAAAAAGGCAAAAATATGACCAATGGCGATGGTCTCACCATTGTACTTCAGTATATCATTAAAACTAATTCTGAAATGGTCGAACACAATAAAAAATAACTTCTAAAAAGGCTACTGTTTGTGGCTTATTTGCTATGAAGAGTTTGCCAGAACCATGGCTCTTATCAGAAGACTACCCAACAGTTTGGGATGCATCACCTTTTCACCCACGCTCCCTTGAGCCCCCAATAATAAGATCCAGCCTCATGAATCATAGCAAATACCATGCCTCTCAGCATCATTTATCCCAAAAACCAGTTTGCTTTTTCCCGCTCTGACCCTCTTTGGGGGGGGGGGGTGTAAAAAAAAGAAAAAAAGAAAAAAGAACGGACTCCATGTAAAGCAGGAGGAGAAAAAAAAGTCACAGAAAAAAAATGTGTAGGCGTGAAACTTTCCCCTAAAACTTTTCCTCCCACCCCCGGCCAATGACAGGGCCGGGTTTAGTGTGGGGACTGCTCTGATTTGCCCGGGTCTCCTGTGCGCACGGTGACTGACAGCTCGGGGTGAGACTTTTTTTTTTTTTTTTTTTCCCCTTTGCGCGCCGGCCCGTAGACTTGACGGGACTGTGCGTGACGACGGGAAAAAGAAAAGGAGGTAGGTAGACACTTGAGCTCGGAGGCGCAGCGGTGCGGGCCAGTTCAGGAGAGCAGAAGAGGAGCGCAGCAGTGTGCGGGAGAGACGGTGCCCACCCGTCACATAACCGGAGGATCCCACACTAACAAACCCCTATGGCTGCTTGATAAATAACCATACGCCCCCCCTCCCCCTTTTTTTTCTCTTTCTCTGGGACTTTTTGACTTTTAATTTTTTTTTGGCCCTGAACCTGAAGTTGTTTTCGAGTCTTCATCAGTTGCTCCGAGGCTGAGAAGTGAATCCACTTGCCCGTGGACGTGCGCAGGCGGTCATGGATACCCGAGTAAGATGGAAAGTTAAACGGAGGATAAGGGACGCCCAAATCACTTTAGCGGTGATTCTGCTTTTTGTCACGTCGCACGCAAGTTCAGGTAAGATGCAGATGTGCCGACAGATGTGTGTGCGGATTGGCTTTTTTTTTTTTTTTCTTTTTTTTTTTGCGCCGCAAACTTTTTTTTCTCCGCTGGTAGGGGATCACTGATGTGTGCCCCTCCTCCTTTAGCGGTGCCCTGATGTATTCAGCTCGGTCTGTCCGAAGCTGTGGGACTCACCAGAAGTTTGGGACTGCTTCTGTTTTTTTTTACAGAAAGCCTTTTCTTCTGGGGAAAGGCTTTTGGTGATGTGGTCACTCACTGTCCGTCTGTGGTCTGTGAGGAAGGACACAAGATTTAGTTGGACATTAGGTTAGGCCAATGCATCCCCCCCACCCCCCCTCTCTTTTGCATGATTTAATCTCTTGTGGAAAACTTATAGAGTTTGGACATGGTAGAGTTTTATGAAGATAAATTGTATTCCTTACTTTGAGTCGAGTTTTTGTTTCAGACTTATCTAATAGGTCAAACACACTTTCTATAGCAGTTTTTCTAACTGATGAGAGAGATGAGCAGAGCTTTCATAAGAGGGAGGGGCTGCAGCTCATCTGAAGTGGCAGGGTGGAGTCCGACTGGGTTTTCTGAAGCGCTGGGATTCGCTGCACATCAGGGAAAGACATATTACAGCAATCGTATTCTGTAAAATGTCTTTAAGTCTCTCGGTGACCCCTCTGTTAGAGTCTGAACTAATGTGGCATGTATTCAGTTGTCACCTGGGGTTCAGCTCATTTGGAAACTTGCCGAAAAGGATGGTATTTATCTCCGTTTTGTGGGGTCAGAGGTCAGTCGGTGGGGATTGGGCTTGCCCTTTATATATTATTAGCACCTTAAAGACCACCTGCCATGGCCGGTGGTGGGATGTGTGCTGCGAGGCTCCGGCGGGGGCCGTCCACGTGAACAGGTGGCTCCTTCTGTCTGCTGTGGACGGTCAGAGAGTGTCGAGGATTGTGCTGATGCTGGGAGTTTGTACAAAGACGATTCCACTTGGAGGGGCTCAGACGCTTTGATAACTAAAACAGATTAAGTGGCTCAGATATACTGCTGAACACATAAAGGAATTAACAAATTTGGTTTATTTTCATGGGGCCTGTTGGGACAGCTTGCTGGATGAGCACAGCCCTTGGTTAATGCATGCAGTTTGGACCTGGGCCATATTAGAAGATAGAGGAGGAGGGACAGAAAAGGATCAGACTCATGTCAAGGTTTCTGGTACACTTCCTGAAACCTGATACTTGACACATCCTAAATGGGAAGTGCCAGATGATTAAGTGGTAGTAACACGCCACTGCATGCAAGATTTGAGGAAACTAATTATCTTGTTCATCGACATTAAGAGTTTGTACTTTCTTTCAGTTGTCTGGCACATTGGTTTTCAAGCTGTAAGCACAATATGGAAATTGATTCAGCAATCGTAAAACTTTTTTTACATAAACAGGATAGGTAGACCTTCATTCAAAAGCAATTACAGTTTATTAGCAATAAAGAATCTAATCGGACACTTCAGTATACAATAAAAAGGCTCCATAAAGATGTCTTGTGTGACTTGTTGACTTTGTATACAGTGTCTTGCATAAAAATGCTCTAATAGAATGTTAAAGGGTCTTTAACATTCATTCTGTGTTTCAGTATATTTTGCAAACCTACCTGGTAGTCATTAATTAGGGGGGCCACAGCCGTAGGCAAGGCCCACGGCAGTGGGCCTTGCCGAAGGCAAGGCCCACCTATTACTCTTCGAAATACTTATTCCGCTCCATATTATTATCGTTCTCCCGTTTCCGCCCGAATTTCGGCGCGTAACTCGTCGCGCACGGTTCCGCGGATCGGGCCCAAAACCGGCACGCGCGTCCGACCCGACCACGGGATGCGTGCTATTTCATAACTTTCTCAAAGGAGCGGGCGTTTCCGAGGAAACGGCGAAGAAGTGGCGAGCGTTTTCCCATAGGAATGCATGGGGGACGCAGAAAAAAAGGCACAAAAAAAGCCGAAAGATGAGGCCCGTCAGGGCCTCATCGCTCGGGCCCAGAGCGTCCGAGAGACGTCGTTCGAACATTGAACGGGACACGAAAGACGGGCCTCCGCCATATCGGAGCCACGAGGCCAGATCTCGCACCGTTTGCCCGCAATCGCTGTTGACGTTTTAGTGAAATTCAGAAAATCAGAGATCCTGGCCCGCACTCTAATTCAGCTCGTTAAGAGCTCTCAGAGTCCAGTGGGGAGGTTCACTGAAAAAAAGTCAAACTTTAGCCTCTCGTGACCAATCCGTGGGGCCGAGCGGTGCCAAAATGGCCTCAAAACGTAGCCACGAGTGTCCTCTTTCGCCCGATGTGCCCGGTTTGGACCTCGGCCTTACGGTTCTCCGCCAATCGGGCCCAGAGTTCAGACTTTCCAGACCCTCTCCAATAGGATTTTAATGGAAGAAAGGAGAGATTTTTTTTCACCAGAGACAAAACGACCCTCATTTTGAAATTGCCATAAAAAAATAACCGCTGGGAGCAGGCGAAAAATAAACAGATGTGCTGAGACGTGAAAGTCTCAGCCCGCTCACGGTCCAAGAATTTTTCAGTTTTGTGTTATAGTTTTCGAACAGCGTACAGCCGTTCGGAGGCAACGTTTGATAGAAACTGCCACTTCTCTGTGTCAGAACTGCGGCTTACTGATGAGTCACAGGTGTGGGAGCAGAGACTTTGGCCTGGCTGCTGTCGCCGTGGCGACCACCAGAGAGCCACAGCAGCACTGTGGGTCTCTGCAGACCTCTGTGGGCTGTGAGCTTAAAGGCGGGCGAAGCCCGCTCTCAGTGATTTTTTAAGAAATACGTTTTTTCCTGTTTCGGGGCGGGCGAAGCCCGCTTAGAGGGCTTTAGTCAGAGCCCGGTTCTGGTTCTGGTTCTAGGGATAGGACCCAACCGGGTCGGAACCGGACCGGCGCCATGTCATACTCCTGGTTCAAGGCGGGCGAAGCCCGCTCTCAATGATTTTTAAAGAAATACGTTATTTGTGATTCAAGGCGGGCGAAGCCCGCTTAGAGGGCTTTAGTCAGAGCCCGGTTCTGGTTTTGGTTCTAGGGATAGGACCCAACCGGGTCGGAACCGGACCGGGGCCATGTCATACCTCGTTGCGTAGGTCTTTTTCTCAGCTTTCAGCCAACGTGACCCCCGACCTGCCCACCCCATCCGCATTCGGTCAGCGGGCCCCAGAGCTCAGCCGGGAGCTGAAAAGGCGGGCGAAGCCCGCTCTCAGTGATTTTTTAAGAAATACGTTATTCCTGTTACCATGGCGGGCGAAGCCCGCTTAGAAGGCTTTAGTCAGAGCCCGGTTCTGGTTCCGGTTCTAGGGATAGGACCCAACCGGGTCGGAACCGGACCGGGGCCATGTCATACCTCGTCGCGTAGGTCTTTTTCTCAGCTTTCAGCCAACGTGACCCCCGACCCGCCCGCCCCATCCGCATTCGGTCAGCGGGCCCCAGAGCTCAGCCGGGTCTCTCCATCACCTCAGGCCCTCTCATAGGCGCGAGCCCACATTACAGAGAGCCCGAACATCGATTGGCCCGACCCGCCCCGGGTTCCCGGACGGGCAGCGGGTGGCCCCCCTCCAAAATTTCTTCAGAAATTTTCTAGTTAACTTTAAAGTTTATTTTGAGATTTCTATCCATCATGAAATGTTAGCACTCACTTTTTGGGTTTATTTTTGCCAGAATAGGTCTCATGGAAAATGTCCAAATATGCTTGATGAATATTCCAATGTGCTAACCAGCTAGCAGCCATTTAGCATTTGACATGATGGTGGGCCAGTAGCCTACACTCATTGAATATGGACTTTTCCCACTGGATAATTTGGGAGCTTTTGCCAAGCTGAAAGATTAATTGCTGTTGACTTACAAACCCAAATCCAAGCATTTTACTCTATATTAATTTCCTAATTCTGTGCCTAGAATATTAACATACATTTCTTTATGCAATCAATTCAAATTCATAGGATACCAAGGTTATTTAGGGGATGGTCATGCTGCGTGTTTGCTCCAGTTCATGGTTTTTGGGGGGTCATCCTTTCTTGGTATTGGGGGGGAAACATTAAAGCCCTGTGAAAAGTGGTAATAACAGAGGGACATAAAGGTCAAGAATGAAAAGAAGGGTCAGAGTTCAAAGGTGAAGGTCAGTTCTTTCAGCTTGTCTCCTAGGTTTACAGTTTCATTGCCTTAAGAGTGGAATTCTTTCTGTTGTTGTCAGTTTGTTCTTGTTTCAGTCAATTCATCTGTAACTCCTCTCGGAGGTCAAAGGAAAAAGTACATGTGCCGGAATGGGGACAAGCTGTGCCACCGTTATTAAACGCTGTATTTCATAGGTCGTCAGGGCCACGTCTGGAGCTGTATGCAGGATAGAATTGCTGTAAATGAAGCATATTGTCTTTTTTTTTTGTCTTTTTTTTACTCATTTTTGTCAACCAAGAATTTCTTTTCACAAGTTCCTCTGAGGTTTGTTTTCACTAATCAACCAAATGCCTTTTTGGATGGTCTTCGTCCTTAAGAGACATTCACACTCAACCATAACCCAACTGTGCAGACCGTTTTAGCAATCAGAAATACTACAATAACATTCTTTGAATACCTTGTGCAAATGAAAACAGGGCTGGATATTAGCCAGTGGTGATCTATCACAGCAATGTATGAAGCAGTCGTAATGCCAAAACATCACAAAATATATTTGAGATTTAAGAATTATGCTATGAGTTTATGTTTGTGTAATCCTGATGGAAGTTTTAAAGGCATAAAGAGAAAAAAAGGCCTTGGAGTTTCACTGAGCGCCTTCCCATCTGGATTCGATAAGTTCCATTGTGCTGTCTGCTAAGCCCTCCAAAAAGCCAGGAAAAATGTCTTCCAGATGTTTTCTTCCCATTTTTGGTGGACCAGGGGACCATGAAAAAAAAAAAAGAAAACGGCTGCTCTTCTGCACTTTTTTCTAGAGAAAAAACACAACATTCAGCTCTGGTTTTAGAGAAAACTTCCAC